TACAAGTTAAGGACTTATTCTGTGCCCCAGAGTCCCTGGAAAGTAGAAAGGCAGTCTGAGTAGGGAGATGAGAGATGCCATTTTAAAAAAAGGACAACAGTGGGAAAGTACTTTCCCTCTGTGGAAAGTACAGGTAGCTGCTGGTGCTCTTGTGGCCTGGCCCTGTTTGGATTCTGTTTGTACAGATCCCAGATCAAAGGTGTGCTAAGGGAAGCCTCTGGAACCACAAGTGCTAACAAGTCATGATGTGGGAAATAGGCCTCCCATTTGAGCCCCAGCCTTGAGGGAGAAACCCTTTCTGTGCAAATAAAGGAGATGCTGGCTACACACACCATCGCAGGTTTGTGTCACAGAGGCTGAACTGGCCAGTGAGACATGGACAGAGATTTCAGGGGTCAAGACATAGTGGACTACTGGAGACCAGCCAGCTACCAGCTGGTGGAGCATGAGCAGGGTACAAGCCCATCTGTGAGAGCAGTATCACACTAAAGAGAGGAGTTCCTCACTCCAAAACGGACCAGTTTTAGACTTTATTTTGACTTATAGTGTTTATTTTCTTATTGTAGTAAGAAACGTAAATAATAGAAGGGCTTTGACATCTTAATGTATAATAATAGGCCAGGTACGATGGCTCACACCTATAATCCCAGCACTTTGGGAAGCCGAGGAAGGAGGATGGCTTGAGGCCAGAAGTTCAAGACCAGTGTGGGCAACATAGCAAGACGCTGTCTCTACAACAACAACAACAACAACAACAAAAACAAACTCTTACTTGGTGCTCACTACATGCCAGGCACTGTTGTAAGTGTTTTGTATGTATTAACTCATTTAACTCTCATAACTTAAAATTCATGTCCTGCAAAGAGCACATAGAATTATGTGATTTTTTTTCTCTGTTTGCCTTATTATATCATGTTAGATGAAACTGGTCTAGTTTAATAGAAAATAAAACCAACCTTTTGCCCCATTTTGGCACTCAAATATTGACTTTCCCTTCTACAATACTTCCTTTACCCACAGGACCAAGAATCTCTCTCCCCTCCATCTCTTTTCCTTAACCAGTTAGACATTTGGAGGCCAGGTTTACAATGGTAGTTTTTCTGTGACTGTCCTGCCCTCTGCTGGATTCAAGAGATAGATTGCTGATACGTGCACTCACAGGAGGGGGCCCATTTACCGGAAAGCGGGGTGGATCTGGAGACTGGATTTCCCTCTGGGTTACTTTTGTTCACTAGAAATTTGGTCTAGGAGGTTGTGATCCAGCCTCTGAGTATGCGGTAGAAAGATTCTTGGTAAATACAACTGCCTGGTTTAGAGTTTAGAAGTTGTCTATGTGTGTGCCTACTTGTTTCTTTCTTTATATATGGATGGAGAGATGTGAGAGACCTCATTTGTCTAATGTTAAAAACAAAATTTCCTATGCAAATTGATCTTTAGGAATTGGCAAAATTTATCAACTTGTGAACAAGAGATCAGCAAGGTGACAAAAACTATACTTTTGCGTATGGGAAAAGCATGGAAATGGATAGATTGTTGGAATATAGAAGACTTACATAAGCAACCAGTGCAGGGAAGGAAAAAAACCCTCCCCAACTAGGTAAAGATTGTAATTTCATTATACATGGTAACAAAAATGTCATATTCCACTTTCTTATTACAGAATAAACATGAATGAGGAGGGTTTGCAATGCCAGCAATAATAAAAAAAATCAATATAATGCTAAATATATAGGAAAAATAAATATAACTTAGTTATAAAATACAGTAATATGTATTTCAATATCGAAATCCTAGGGTGTTACTACAAAAGATATAATTAAGCAATAAGATGTTCACATCTATAAATAATGAACAAGCTTGGATGTAATAGGAGCCATAAGAAGAGAAGCCATTCCATTCAAAATGAAGGCAGAGGTGTGATGGATATTAGAATAAAACCTGATGTTAAGTAATCATAGAGATTTATTTGTGTCAACAAAATACAGAAGTAACTTGAATTTAAGAAAGAGTAACATGACATGTACTAGGTAGAGAAAATGAGGACATATACTATTGCTGTGATGAGCTAGGTCTTCTTTTCAAGGAAGAGGTTATAATAAATTTGTGGTGTCATGGGATAGAATAGTGAAGGAGTTCTCATAAATCATATAACCCATCTTGATATCTCACCACATGTCAAGGCAAGCATGGAGACTCTAAAACATCTGAGACCTTGGAGACCATGTCCTTCAAGAATTGATGGGAAATAGAGGATGATTTGAAAAAACAAGCAGTATTTAAGAGGCTTTGGACAAGTTGTGTGGCAGACCTTTAGGGACAGAACCAGATAAGACTGAAAGCCATCAGGAAATCTCCAAATACATCATTTCAATGTGTAATTTCAGAACATAGATTTTATTTATTTATTTATTTATTATTTTTTGAGTCGGAGTCTCACTCGATCACCCAGGGTGGAGTGCAGTGGTTCAATCTCGCCTCACTGCAACCTCTTACCTCCCAGGTTCAAGGGATTCTCCTGCCTCAGCCTCCCGAGTAGCTGGGATTACAGGCGCGCACCAATCTGCCCAGCAAATTTTTGTATTTTTAGTAGAGATGGGGTTTCATCATGTTGGCCAGGCTGGTCTCCAACTCCTGAACTCAGGTGATCCACCCTCCTCGGCCTCCCAAAGTGCTAGGATTACAGGCATGAGCCACCGCGCCTGGCCAGATTTATTACGACTGTGCTGCAAATAATTTTTACAATTTATATACAATGGTAATAAAATATTTAAAAATAGGTTTTATGTATGAAGTTCACTGATATCTCTCATTTCATTTGTCACTACAAACGTAATAATGTGTTTGACCTAAAGTCCCGTGACGGGGAGTGGTGGTTTATGCCTGTAATCCCAGCACTTTGGGTGGCTGAGGTGGGAGGATTGCTTGAGCCGGAGGGGTTGAGACTGCAGTGTGCCATGATTGAGCCACTGCACTCCAGCCTGGGCAACAAAGCGAGTCCTTGATTCCAAAAAACGCAAAACCAACCAACCAACCAAAACCCTCAAGTAACTCTTCCTATAAATTTTGGCTAGTGTTATATTGGTTTCGAATGTATTAATATCCCAATCAGGTATTGCGTATTCAGCCTTATCTGAAATCGAATCAACTAACTACATCAAATGAAAGCAACATTGGCCGGGCACAGTGACTCACACCTGTAATCCCAGCACTTTGGGAGGCCAAGGCGGGCGGATCACGAGGTCAGGAGTTCGAGAACAGCCTGACCAACATAGTGAAACCCCATCTCTACTAAAAATACAAAAAATGAGCCAGGCATGGTGGCAAGAAGCCTGTAATCCCAGGTACTCTGGAGGCTGAGGCAAGAGAATATCCTGAACCCGGGAGGCAGAGATTGCAGTGAGCTGAGATTGCACCACTGTTGTGCTCTCCAGCCCGGGCGACTGTGCGAGATTTAGATTCCATCTCAAAAAAAAAAAAAAAAAAAAAAAAAAAAAAGCATTACGGGCACAGTGACTCACACCTGTAATCCCAGCAGCTTCTGGGAGGCCAGGCGGGCGGGATTGCGTCAGGAGTTCGAGAACAGCCTGACCAATATAGCGGTGTCCCCATCTCTACTAAAAATACAAAAAAATGAGAGGCCAGGCATGGTGGCAAGAAGCCTGTAAATCCCAGGTGGACGGGAGGCTGAGGCAAGAGAATATCCGAACCCGGGAGGCAGAGATTGCAGTGAGCTGAGATTGCACTCACTGCTGTGCTCTCCAGCTCAAGCACCAGCGCAGATTTAGATTCCATCTCAAAAAAAAAAAAGCATACCTTCTGAAACTAGTGGGCTTTTTTTTTTTTTTTTTTTTTTTTTTTTTTTTTTTTTTTGCTTTTCTTACTAGAATCTGATCACCACTACTTTTCTTTTCTTCTTTCGAGACGGAGTTTTGTTCTCCTCGCCCAGGCTGGAGTGCAATGGTGTGATCTCGGCTCACTGCAACCTTCACCTCTTGAGTTGAAACGATTCTCCTGCCACAGCCTCCCGAGTAGCTGAGATTACAGGCGCCCCCGCCACCACGCCTGGCTAATTTTTTGTATTTTTAGTAGAGACAGGGTTTCACCATGTTGCCCTGGCTGGTCTCGAACTCCTGACCTCAAGTAATCCACCCTGCCTCGGCCTTCCTCCCAAAGCGCGCGCTGGGAGTACAGACGTGAGCCACTGCGCTCCACCCCAGCGCTTTTCTTTTTCAGCGCATTTGTGAGCTGTATGACACCCAGAGCTTTTTTTTTTTTTTTTTTGAGACGTTGTTGAGTTCTTGTTTTCTAGGCTGGAGTGCAATGGCGCGATCTCGGCTTACTGCAACCTCCGCCTCCTGGGTTCAAGCGATTCTCCTGCCTCAGCCTCCCGAGTAGGGATTGCAGCCATGCGCCACTACGCCCGGCTAAGTTTGTATTTTTAGTAGAGACGGGGTTTCTCCATGTTGGTCAGGCTGGTCTCGAACTCCCGACCTCAGGTGATCGCCTGCCTCGGCCTTCCAAAGTGTTGGGATTACAAGCTTGAGCCACCGCGCCCGGCCCTGGCCTACTTTTTTTTTTTTTTTTTTTTTTTTTGAGACGGAGTCTCGTTCTGTCGCCCAGGCTGGAGTGCAGTGGCCGAATCTCAGCTCACTGCAAGCTCCGCCTCTCTGATTTACGCCATTCTCCTGCCTCAGCCTCCCGAGTAGCTGGGACTACAGGCGCCGCCACCTCGCCCGGCTAGTTTTTTGTATTTTTTTAGTAGAGACGGGGTTTCACTGTGTTAGCCAGGATGGTCTCGATCTGCTGACCTCGTAATCCGCCCGTCTCGGCCTCCCAAAGTGCTGGGATTACAGGCTTGAGCTACCCTGGCCTACTTTTAAACAGTCTTCCTCCTGGAGCTTATTTCTCTGGGGCAGAGGCATAAACTCCGCCTCTGACAGCCCCTGAGGGCCCCGCCCCTACGCGCACCTCGCCTTCTTTTTGTTCACTCTATCTCCAGGGCGGGCGCCAGTTGCCGACCGAAGCGGAAGTGACGTTAGGCGTCCGCCGGAGGTGTCGTTGGTGTGTTGCGCGACCGGCCTTGAAGAAGAAGTGGGGCCTGCTCTCGGAGAAATACAGCTATGTCGATCGAAATCGAATCTTCGGAGTGAGTCCTGCGGTGGAGATGTTCCCGCCGTGCCGGGGGCCCAGAGGTTAAGGGTGTGGGGCGGACGATACTCGGGGGAAGGCATCCGAGAGGCTAGGGAATGGAGGGCCATTTCCTTGCCTCCAAAGAAGCATCTTGGATCTGGCTATCTCGGAGGTGGGCCCACAGGAAAGTAGCAGCTCTCAGACGAGAAGCCCAAAGCTTCGAGGGAGGTGGCATGGGGTGGGGAAAACACACCTTGCAGACCAGAGTTCTGTCCTTGGCCGACTGCTGGCGCGCTGTGATTGACCAAATTAAGGATCCACTCTGGACTCCAGTCTAATTGAATCTGCACACGGTGATAGGTCTCTTAAGCCTTGCTTCTCTCCCTGTCGAGCTTATGCAGTGTGATTTGTTGTCTCTGTGCCCATACGGCCCCTTTGCTTTCCTCTGCCTAGCATTTATCACTCATTGTTGTCACTGTTTGATAACCTCACCCCAAACTAGCTTTGTCGGTGCCTAGGAGCTCCTTTTCCTTGTGGTCTCAGTGTCTTGCGTACCTTAGAGGAAGAGTTAATTGCTTTTGGAATGAATGAACAAGTCCCAGGCCCGATCTGGCACTGAATTTTGGTCTGTGAGCTCTCTGTAACCGCGAAGGAGAGGCAGACTCTGGAGACTGGGCTAGAAAGAAAAATTTTCAAGGAATAGGGAATGAGAAGTAGTGACTAAAGAAGACTTTAGTGTGCTTTTCCAGAACTCCATCCTCCACCTGTCCTTGCCAATACTTAATAATAATTAAATTAACAGACATAACTGTTGTGTTCTGAGTGTAAGGGAGGGAGAGGACCTTTTTTGGAGACTTGACTTTTTTTATTTTGAGATGGAGTTTCGCTCTTGTTTCCCAGGCTGGAGTGCAATGGCGCGATCTCGGCTCACTGCAATCTCTGCCTCCCGGGTTCAAGCGATTCTCCTGCCTCAGCCTCCCTAGTAGCTGGAATTACAGGCATGTGCCACCACGCCTGGCTAATTTTGTATTTTTAGTAGAGACGGAGTTTCTCCATGTTGGTCAGACTGGTCTCGAACTCCCGACCTCAGGTGATCCGACCTCACGTGATCCGCCCGCCTCGGCCTCCCAAAGTGCTGGCATTACAGGCATGAACCACCACGCCGGGCTTTTGGAGACTTCGTAGGAGGAAGGGAGGTTTATACATTCGGCAAATACTGAAATGATGTTAACCAACTTGTCCAAGGTCACATAACTTTGATTCAAATCCCAGACTGTCTTCAAAGCTTTTAACTCATTATGCATTCATTCGTGTTTGAAGGTAGGGAATTTGATTTTGTCTGTGTCAAATGTGAGGTGTTTGAGGAGAGAGATGACTTATTTTGGGAGTGTAAAATGGAAGTCAATGGAAATGTGCTAAGGAAGATAGTATCATACCAGAATAACAGGGGTCTAAGTCTGGAGACCTGCATACCTCATAAAGGGTCCATGAGAGAAAAAGACTACTTACAGTAGCAGCAATCAGTTCTCTTTTATAGTTGTTTTTAAGAAGAGGGGCCAGCTGCGGTGGCGCTCACACCTTTAATCCCAACACTTTGGGAAGCTGAGGCGGGTGGATCACTTGAGCACAGGAGTTTGAGACAGCAAGGTCAGCATGGCAAAACCACGTTTCTACAAATACAACAATTAGCCAGCGTGGTGGTGCGTGCCTGTGGTCTCAGCTACTCGGGAGGCTGAGGTGAGAGGATCACTTGATCCCAGGAAGTCGAGGCTGCAGTGAGCCATGATCCCGCCACCATTCTTTCCAGCCTGAGTGAATGGGCGTGAGACCCTTTCTCAACAAAAAAAAAAAAAAAAAAAAAGAAGAGGGTGTTTGCTTTCTTCTCAGGAATATATGCTCAAGAGCCACACTGCCGGTTTGAGTCCTGATTTTTCCACTTACTATCTCTATTATCTGATCAAATTCTCATCTGTAAATTGGGAAGTAAACTTACCTCATAGGCTTTATTTTATTTATTTTTTGAGACAGGGTCTTGCTCTTTTTCCCAGGCTAGAGTGCAGTGGCATGATCACGGCTCACTGCAGCCTCAACCTTACGGATACAAGCGATCCTCCCACCCTAGCTTCCCAAATAGCTGGGACCACAAGCACACACTATCATACCTAGCTAATTTTTTTTTTTTTTTTTTTTTTTTTTGGTAGAGAAGGGGTCTCCTTATGTTGCTCATGCTGGTCTTGAACTCCTGGGCTCAAGGGATCCTCCCACATCAACATCCCAAGTAGCTGGGACTACAGGCACGTGCTACCATGTTTGGCTAATTAAAGAAAGTTGTAGAGATGGAATCTCACAGCTGCCTGATCTGGTCTCAAACTCCTGGTTTCCAGCAATCTCTCTGCCTCAGCCTCCCAAAGTACTGAGATTACAGTCATGAGCCAGCATGCCTAGCCTCATTTAGATTATTTTGTATAAATGACTAGTGTAGTCATTTAAAGTAATTCAGTGAAGTGTGCTACAATATAATTATAGGAATGAATAGGAAACTACGCTCTGAATTAGGAAATAAGATAGTCACCTTGATACCAACTCCCTTATTAGCTGACTGAGACATTAGGCAAATGATTTCCCTTCCTTGAATCCCAGTGTCTCTATGGTTGGGGGGGTCCTCTTGTAATTTAGATTGTGTGATTTTGGAAAATTTTACTCACATGATAAAGAAATGATAAAGGAAGATGATTGAGTAGGAGCTTGGTAGGCTTTGTTTTTGACCTCTGGTGAGTGAGAATCCCTGAGCTGAATGATTTGTTTTCTTTCAGTGTGATCCGCCTTATCATGCAGTACTTGAAGGAGAACAGTTTACATCGGGCGTTAGCCACCTTGCAGGAGGAGACTACTGTGTCTCTGAATACTGTGGACAGCATTGAGAGTTTTGTGGCTGACATTAACAGTGGCCATTGGGATACTGTGTTGCAGGCTATCCAGTCTCTGAAATTGCCAGACAAAACCCTCATTGACCTCTATGAACAGGTGAGAGTGGTGGAGATGCTGATCTCCGTGGGTTGGTTTGCTGTGGGCCAGCTCTCTGACGAAAAAGCGTCAGCGAGCGTTCCTTCAAGCACAGTAGGGCTGCATCAGCCCATAAAACTTACAGTGGCAAGGCTTGACATGGTATTTTTTCTCCCTTCTCGGAAAATCCAAGATTTCCCAAATTAAAATTCCTCTTTTTGAGACTAGGTCTTGTTCTGTTACCCACTCTGGAGTGCTGTGGCAAGATCACAGCTTGCTGCATCCTCCATTTCCGGAATCAATCCTCCTGCCTCAGCCTCCTGTGTAGCTAGGAACACAGGCACGCACCACCACGCCTGCCTGATTTTTGCATTTTTTTGTAGAGACAGGATCTCACCATAATACCCAGGGTGGTCTCAAACTCCTGGGCTCAAGCAGTTCGCCAGCCTTGACCTTCAAAGAGCTGGGATTATAGGCGTAAGAGAGCCTCAACTTTCTAATCACATAGTTAGTCTTTCTGGTAACTAGCTCCTACCTATCCTGAGCCATTTCCTTTGCACAAACCCAGGTGTGATTCAAGGGGCCCAGGAGTAACAAAGATACCCCTATCACTGGTTAAATTTCAAGAAGCTCCAAGTCAAGAACCTAGGACAAAGATCAGACAAATTTGTGATTATAAAACAGAGAGTAGGCTTTTTGGAAATAAGATTGTAATTTGAAGTAAAAGTAGGGAAATTGGTTTTTTGTTTTTGTTTTCGGGGGGTTTTTTTTTTTTTTTTGAGATGGAGTCTCACTCTGTTGCCCAGGCTGTAGTGCAGTGGTGCGACTTCTGCTCACTGCAGCCTCCATCTCCCGGGTTCAAGTGATTCCTCTGCCTCAGCCTCCTGAGTAGCTGGGATTACAGGCGTGCACCGCCACACCCGGCTAATTTTTGTATTTAGTAGAGACAGGGTTTCACCACATTGGCCAGGCTGGTCTCCAACTCCTGACCTCAGTGATCCACCTGCCTTGGTCTCCCAAATGCTGGGATCACAGGTGTGAACTGCCGTGTCTGGGCAGTTTGTTTCTTTATAATCCATATGAGTTCAATAATTCCCAAAGAAAATTTTGGTAACTGGAGAAAGGTTTCTCTAGAGCCGATGGGGATATTCCCATTTTTAGCTTTCTTTGGCATCTACATTCTGAGCAAGAAGCTTGAGAGGAGGGGAGATTGGTAGATAAAAATGGATAGAGTTTGAAGGATTAAAATTATTAATTTTTTGAGACAGAGTGCAGTAGCGTGAGCTTGGCTCACTGCAACCTCTGCCTCTCGGGTTCAAGCAATTCTCCTGCCTCAGCCTCCCAAGTAGCTGGGATTACAGGCGCATACCACCACACCCAGCTAATTTTTTTGTATTTTTAGTAGAGAGTGGGTTTCACCACGTTGGCCAGACTGGTTTTGAACTGACCTCAAGTGATCCACTCATCTTGAACCACTCCCAAAGTGCTAGGATAAGAGCCACCAAGCCCGGCCGAAGTTACTATTTATAATTACTTCAGTTGTCCACCTGAAATTGCTAGTGAAAAGGGAAAGGGGCACTTCCTGGCATTGGAAATCACTTTGACAGGCCATATCTGTGTTAGATATTTTACTGAAAAATATTAATAAGAGAATGTGTTGAAACATCTGTTTTTTTTTTTTTTTTTTTTTAAATTGTTCAGGTTGTTCTGGAATTGATAGAGCTCCGTGAATTGGGTGCTGCCAGGTCACTTTTGAGACAGACGGATCCCATGATCATGTTAAAACAAACACAGCCAGAGCGATATATTCATCTAGAGAACCTTTTGGCCAGGTCTTACTTTGATCCTCGTGAGGTATGACTGTGGTAATGTAAAGGAACTTTTTGTCAACTTTGGAAATATAATAACATCTTTTTTTTTAATCGTTTTATTGGATACTTTTTGTGATTTTGATTTAATTTTTGAGAATGGTGCTTCTCTGTTTATATATGTTGGTTGAAATTTGCATGTGTTAAAAAAAGAATAATTTTATTCAGTTTTCTGATTATTTGAGAGTCTTCTACACACCTCATTTTAGAGGATTGTGTGTTGGTTGGTACAGAAAATTTTATTCTGATGTCATTTCCACATTAGCCCTCCCTGAAGTGCTGCCTGACTGCTGGTATGTTCACTGATCATTTGTGTGTCTTGCCCCTAACAAATGCAGTTTCATTCTAGCCTTTTTAGTCCCTAGAAGCTTGTGCTTTTGCTTCTTAGCTGATTATGCTTACTGGTAGAGCATGATGATAGATAGTCTTTTATTCTTCCAAAACCTTATTATCTGTATAGTTTCATTCTTCCTGCCCACCCCCCCAGCCTTTCACTAGAGGTTTGTCAAAATAGGAGGAAAAAGGATTAAAAAAATTTTGGGGGGAGTACATAGTAAGTATATATATTTATAGGGTACATGAGATATTTTGATATAGGCATGCAGTGCATAATGAGGGTAAATGGAGTATCCATCACCTCAAGCATTTATCCTTTATGTTACAAAGGATTCAATTCTTTCAGTTATTTTAAAATGTATAATTATTATTGACTATAGTCACCCTGTTGTGCTATCAAATGCTGTTTCTTATTTATTCTTTTTTTTTTTTTTCTTTTTGGAGATGGAGTCTCGCTCTGTCACCCAGGCTGGAGTGCAGTGGCGCAGTCTCGGCTCACTGCAAGCTCTGCCTCCCGGGTTCACGCCATTCTCCCACCTCAGCCTCCCGAGTAGCTGGGACTACAGGTGCCTGCCACCACACCTGGCTAATTTTTTTTTGTATTTTTAGTAGAGACAGGGTTTCACTGTGTTAGCCAGGATGGTCTCGATCTCCTGACCTCGTGATCCGCCCGCCTCGGCCTCCCAAAGTGCTGGGATTACAGGTGTGAGCCACCGCACCCGGCTATTCTTTATATTTTTTGTATCTATTAACCATCCCACTTTCCTTCTTACCCCGCCACCTCCACCCTTCCCAGCCTCTGATAACCATATATCTGTATCTCCATGTTTTAATTTTTAGTTCCTGCAAATAAATGAGAACATGCAAAGTTTGTCTTTCTGTGCCTGGCTTATTTCACTTACCATAATGAGCTCTAGTTATATCCATGTTGTTGCAAATGACAGGATCTCATTCTTTTATATGGCTAGTGGTACTCCATTGTGTACATGTACCACATTTTCTTTATTTATCTATTAATGGTTGCTTCCAAATCTTGGCTATTGTGAATACTGATGTAATAAACATGGGAGTGCAGATATCTCTTTGATATACTGATTTCCTTTTGGGTGTGTACCTAGCAGTGGGATTGCTGGATCATATGGTACCTCCATGTTTAGTTTTTTGAGGAATCTCCAAACTATTCTCCATACTAGTTGTACTAATTTACTTTCCCACTAATAGTGTATGAGGGTTCCTTTTTCTCCACTTACTCACCAGCATTTGTTCTTTCCTGCCTTTTTGTACAAAAGCCATTTTAACTGGAGTGAGATGATATCTCATTATAGTTTGATTTGCATTTCTCTAATGATCAGTTGTGTTGAGCACCTTTAAATAAACCTGTTTGCCTTGTGTATGTCTTTTTTTTTTTTTTTTGAGAAATGTCTTTTCAGATCTTTCACCCATTTTTAACATTGGATTATCAGATTTTTTTCCTATAGAGTTGTTTGAGCTCCTTATATATTCTGGGGTTTTTTTTTTTTTTTTTTTTTTTTTGGACAGAGCTCTGTTACCCAGGCTGGAGTCCAGTGGCATGATCTTGGCTTACTGCAGCCTCTACTTTCTGGGTTCAAGTAATTCTCATGCCTCAGCCACCAAGTAGCTGGGATTACTGGCGTGTGCCACCACACTCAGCTAATTTTTGAATTTTCAGTAGAGATAGGATTTCGCCATGTTGGCGAGGTTGGTCTCGAACTCTTGGCCTCAAGCGATCCACCCGCCTCGGCCTCCCAAAGTGCTGGGATGACAGTCATGAGCCACCACACTTGGCCTTGTGTTCTGGTTATTTATTTATTTATTTTTCTGAGATGGAGTCTTACTGTTGTTGCCCCGGGTAGAGTACAATGGCACGATCTTAGCTCAATGCAACCTCTACCTCCTGGGTTCCAGGAATTCTCCTGCCTCAGCCCCCCAAGTAGCAGAGATTACAGGCACCCACCACTATGGCCCGGCTAGTTTTTCTATTTTTATTTAGTGGAGACGAGGTTTCACCATCTTGGCCAGGCTAGTCACGAACTCCTGACCTCAGGTGATCTGCCCGCCTCAGTCCCCCAAAGTGCTGGGATTACAGGCATGAGCCACCCTGCCCGGCCGTATTCTGGTTACTAGTTTGCAAGTATTTTCTCAGGAGGAATAAAAACTTAATAGGCACTGGATAATGGAATGTCAAAGTAAACTTAAAATGAGGATAAAGGAAAGGAGTTTAGATCACCAGGATGGGATTTAACTTAGAGGTGGTGAAGCACTTCTGTGCTGGGAGCCATTTAAGAAATTACTAAAGAATATAAAAGAATTCTTGGTTCTGCAAATTTTTGAAAAACTGGAAAAACAACTCGGTTTAATGTGGTTTACTTGGACTCTTTTCAGAAAAATAGCAGTGTGTCCTTTGGCCAGAAACTCAGTGAAAAATAATAATAGTGTGGATTGGCTGACCTCAGTTTTCTCCCAACTCATACTTTTGAAATGCAAGTGGACAGAATTGGGAAGTCATTTTCAAAAACTAAATTAGTTTAATCCCCTCTTTAACTGGGTAATTTCTTTTCACATTTTCCTCTGTGTATGCTTTTGCTTGTTTGTTTTAAGTAAGCACACTCATATCTTGTTGCTTCTGGGAAATGATGCTACATCCTCTCCTTTTTCAGGCATACCCAGATGGAAGTAGCAAAGAAAAGAGAAGAGCAGCAATTGCCCAGGCCTTAGCTGGTGAAGTCAGTGTGGTGCCTCCATCTCGTCTCATGGCATTGCTGGGACAGGTAATTCAATTCCTTTAGAGGCCAGGCGTGGTGGCTCACACCTGTCATCCTTGCACTTTGGGAGGCTGAGGCAGGAGAAACACTTGAGCCTAGAAGTTGGAGACCAGCCTAAGCAACATTGTGAGACCCTGTCTACAAAAAGTAAAAAAATTAGCAGGGTATGGTGGTGTGTGCCTGTGGTCTCAATTACTTCGGAGGCTGAGGTGGGAGGATCACTGGAGCCCAGAAGGTTGAGATGACAGTGAGCTATGATCATGCCATTGTACTCCAGCTTGGGCAATAATAGAGTGAGACCCTGTCTCCAAAAATAAAAATAAATTTAAAAAGTGAACTGGTACAATTTCCTAATTTCCTTTGTATAAACTATGTCTTAGCTGAAGAAATCGTACACCTTAAGAATTGGTGACTACCTACAGAGTTGCTTATACCAATAACTGTGCTGTTCCACTCTCCTTCTTTCCTGGGAGAGGCAATATAGATTAGTGGTTAATAACAAGCTCTGGAGTCAGTTAGAATTTGGGTTACCATGGAATTTATCATCCTGTCTGGGATAGTGTTGAGAGTACTATTGATCACTATGCCAGAACACCAAATGCAAACAGTAACTGTCCTGGAAAAACCGGAACAAATGCCCACCCCGGTTAGAATCCAGGCTTTCTCATTTACCAGCTATATAGTCTTGGCAAATTACTTTACTTTTCTGATCCCATTTACTCATCATAGTATTGATGAGTAAGGATTAAGAGAAATAATGTTCATAAACACTTTATACATTTCCTGGCACCTTGTAAATAGTAAATGGTAGCTGCTGGTGATGATTTTTTAAAAAATTACTAATAGTGTTGCCAGCATTGTCATTATTATAAAGCTACCTAGAGTAATAGATATTTTATAAATAACAAAGGGCACAAGTGATTAATAGGGATGTTAATAACCTTTTTGCACTAAATCTGCATTTAGAAAAAGATCAAAAAACTATTTGTTGTAGGCCTGCAGTGATTCTGAGATTTAAAAGTAAGCTGCTTTTTAATTTTTTAATCAAACTAATAGCTGTGCATCGTTTAAGTAGTACTTCAGGGCTTACAGTGAAAAACAGTCCCATGTGCTTCCCTTCTCCACGTCTGGTTCTTAACTTTCCTATTACCTCCATAGCTGAATACCATGTTTATACTGTTATTACCTGATTTTTTTTTTTTTTTTTAGTCACTAGCAACTATCTTCACTGAAAAATGATTTGTCTCATACCCACTCTCCTCAATACACACTTCTTCTTCCGGATTTTCAGTAGGGTTGTATCACAACTTCTGGTTCGATCTGTATTCAGTGTTTACATAGTTATTTTTATATAAATATTGTTCACAGCTAAAAAATAATTACATGTAGTTTCTTACATAAATTTTTATGATTTGCAATAATTATTGCTTTATTTTTTCTTTTGCCTAGTTTTCTATGCACTTCTGCTAGTCCAGCCTGAGTATTTCTGGTAGAACCCTCAAAAGTCCTTTTTTTTCCCCTTGCTGATACCTTTCCTGAGGCCCTTCTCTTTTTGTTCTCATCAGGACTGGTTCTCTTGTATTGCTGCACAGTTACTGTACCAGGACTTCTCTCATCTTCATACTGGGAATTTTGGGCCTCTTTTTTTTAGTAGATCTTATTTATAGATTCATCATTTTTCTTTCTTTCATAGTTAGACCTCTTTTTTTTTTTTTTTTTTTTTTGAGACGGGGTCTTACTCTGTCACCAGACTGGAGTGCAGTGGCACGATCTCGGCTCACTGCAACCTCCGCCTCCTAGGTTCAAGCAATTCTCCTCCCTCAGCCTCCTAAGTAGCTGGGACCACAGGCACCCACCACCACGCCCAGCTAAGTTTTGTATTTTTAGTAGAGACAGTGTTTCATCATGTTGGCCAGGATGGTCTCGATCTCTTGACCTCATGATCCGCCCGCGTCGGCCTCCCAAAGTTCTGGGAATACAGGTGTGAGCCACTGCGCCCGGCGTTTTTGTTTTGTTTTGTTTTTTGTTTTTTGTCTTTAATTAAATGAAGAACAGGGCCTTGCTGTGTTGCCCAGGCTATCCTGCCTCTGCCTTCCTAAGTACTGGGATTACAGGTGTGAGCCACTGAGTCCAGCCTCGACCCTCATTTTGTGGGAGTACTGAGTCCAGTAACTTCCTGAGAAAGGAAGTGTAGGAATAAATTTTTGAGATTTTACTTGTGTCTGTAATACTGTATATCTTTCTCTCTAAATGTTTAAAGTTTTATTTTCTTCCCTGCCCCATATTGTTCCTATTTTTTCTTTTTCTCTGAGTTCTCTCCTTCCCTGTTTGTTTTGGTGACCATATGTGGAAGTTTTCCTCAAATACTTAGAGATCTCTGCTATGGTTTATATTTAAGAGTGAAACATTAAATAACAGAATTATATGTCCGGTTGGGTGGTTGGAAAGAGGAGTTTGAGAACTGATAGAGTTCAGCCTGGGATGATAGGATGGGGATCCTCATTTGTCATTCTCTGCAGAAATATTCTCTTGGACTGGTCAGCTTTTCCAGAGAGTAGTTCCTGCTTGGAGAATAGTTGCTGCCTGGAGAGTAGTTCCTGCCTAAACCGTATCTTGAGAACCAGAGCTGAGAGGATGCAAGTAGGAGTGGAGGATAGAGAAATCTCACTGTTCAGCATACCAGTGTACACTGAACCCCCCAGTTTTCATTGTGGCTTCTCACCTCCACCTTGTCCTCAACTCTACTGAGATTTCCAGAGCCCAGGACCTCAACCTTTCTAGAATGTACATTACCTGATTTCTCTTGAGGCTAAGGTGAGGTAGTTGCACAGGGTTGGTAGAAGTCGTGGTAGCTAAATGCTCCTTATACAGACTTTAATATTGCCCCTGTTTTCAGCCCTGTGGCGTATGTGATTCTTCCAGTTCCTAAGCCTTTTTGGAGTTTTGCAAGGTAGTTTGACTTGCTTCATGTGGCTTCCACTTCTTCACCTTGTACAATTAGGTTTCAGTTTTCTCTGTTCTTCTTGGTTCCCACAAGTCCATTCACTTTTCACCTCCTAAAATTTAACTAACGTTTTTTTCTTGCTGTTCTCCCATTCTCTTTGTCTTTTGGGGCATGTATCTTTTTTATTCCTTAATTACCATCACTTTAGTAGATTTTTTACAAAGAGTGGAAATAAACTCATGTGTTCTACATTTAATTGGTTATATGTGAAGAGCAAGTGAGGTTTTTGTTCTAGGTTTCGTTTCCTTTTAGTTTCTGGTTTGAGTGACTTGGTAGAAAATATAAGAAGGGCAGATTTGTTGGGGGCTGGGGGTAGAAACTAGATAGGAGAAATGATCCATTTTTAGATGTGCTAAAGTCCTGTGGGACATACAATTGGAAACTTGTAGTATAGGCACTTGGATCTGTGAATCTGGACTTAACCTAGAGATTTTGGCTAAAATTATAGATTTGGAAATTATAGTAGTAGTTGAAGCTGTAAATGTAATTACCTAGGGAAAGCACGTAGAATAAGAATAGTAAAAATTTGGCCAGGTGTGGTGGTTCACGCCTGTAATTCCAGTACTTTGGGAAGCTGAGGTGGGCGGATCAACTGAGGTCAGGAGTTCGAGACCAGTCTGGCCAACATGGTGAAACCCTGTCTCTACTAAAAATACAAAAATATTAGCTAGGTGTGGTGGCTTGCGCCTGTAATCCCAACTATTCTGGAGGCTGATGCAGGAGAATTGCTTGAACTTGGGAGGTACAGGTTGCAGTGAGCTGAGATCGCACCATTGCACTCCAGCCTGGGGGACAAGAACAAAACTCTGTCTCAAAAAAAAAAAAAAAAAAAAAAAAGAAGAAGTAAAAATTTGAGAAGGAAACCACAGGGAACACTTAAAGTCAACAGAGCAAACAGAGAAAAGAACAGCCAGAGAGATAAAAAGGAACCTCGAGAGAATGGGTTTAGAGCAGCCAAGAGAGAGTTTGAAGAGTGTTCATTAAGATCAACAGCAACAGAAAACATGATGAGGGTCAGAAAGGAGTCTGGTTTGGCTGTTGGGATATCTGAGATGCACTGCCAGTGGAAAGGTGGGGACAGAGCGATATTGCAGTAAGATAAGGAGTGAATTTAACTGAGAAGTGAAGGTAGCGAATGTAGATGGCTCTTGAACCTTGGTGGTTAAGGGAAGGAGATGAGGGTGGTGGGGAGGGAAGAGGACAACAGAAGCTCAAAAAGAACACAGGGCCAGACAAGGTTTGTTTTTTTTTTTTCTTTTGAATATGGAAATGATTAGAAACTGTTACAGGCCAGAAGAGAGTACAGATTGATTGGAGAGGGGTCCAAGGAGACACAAATTCTCTCTGGTGATTGCAGGAAAACATAAACATAAATAAGATAGGAATTTTGGAAATAAATTAATATATTTAGAAAAATATTTCAACTATAATAATCTTAGAATTTTAAAGTTTGGAAAGTTGCTAGATACAAAATATACAATTTGATTGCACTCCTGTTTATCAGCAGCAGCTAGTTAGAAAATTCAGTGGAAAAGTGTTCTGTTTATAGCAGAAATATATAATATAAAACCTAGCATTATCTGGGAAATAGATGATTTCCATTTTTAAAAAGGCAAAAAAAAAAAAAATCCTTCAAAACTTACAATAGAATACTTGAGTAAATGGTGAAACATTGATTTTCTGGGACAAGACTGACATTCAATACCAGTTCTCAGATTTAAAGCAATTATCATAAAGATTGCAGTAGGATTAGAACTACTTTACAAAGGAATTTGGCATTCATCTGGAATAATAAACTTGAAAATACATTTATCAGGCTGTGCACGGTGGTTCATGCCTGTAATCTCAGTGGTTTGGGAGGCCGAGGCAGGTGGATCACCTGAGGTCAGGAGTTCGAGACCAGCCTGGCCAACATGGCGAAACCTCGGCTGTACTAAAAATAGAAAAATTAGACGGCCATCATGACGCACGCCTATAATCCCAGCTATTTGGGAGGCTGAGGCACGAGAATCACTTGAACCCAGGAGGCGGAGTTTGCAGTGAGCCAAGATTGCACCACTGCATTCCAGCCTAGGTGACAGAGTGAGACTCTGTCTCAATTTAAAAAAAAAGAAAAAATATATTTAGCAAAGAAACTTTGGAAGGGAAGAATGTTGAGAGCGTACTAGGCTTAGAAATACTGCATTTAATAAAGACCTATAGTTTGCATCATTTTGGTAGTGGGCACAGGAATATCTGTTGCAACCATTGCAACAACAAGGCAAAAACCCAGTCTTGTTATTTATAATAATTCCATGGATGACAATGGGGAATACCACAAAACCTAGGAATAAAGGAAAAATATATTTAGTATATGATGTTGGGACACTGACTTTAGAATTGCGGAGGAGAGGTAAGATCAGAGCCTGCTCCCATATTTTGTGTAGCATAATTTCAGATAGAAAGTTAGATATTTTAAGAAAATAGAAAAACACTTGGAGATTATATAATCTATCAAACCTGATAGTCTTCCCAAGCTTAGAGATTAAACACCAAGGAAAAGATCAACAGATTTCATCACTTGAGAATGGAACTTAAGATGAAAAGAAACCTATAAAGCTATAATCCAAAAATAGACATAGTCACACTACTTGGAAGGCTGAGATAGAAGGACTGCTTGAGCCCAGGAGTTTGAGGCTGCAGTGAGTCGTGATCATGCCACTGCACTTCCAGCCTGACAGAGTGAGAACCCCTCTCTTTAAAAAGAAAAGTTGGTAAAATAATTCTTTATAGCAAACATAAACAACAAATACCTTTATCACATTAAAGTTCACAAATTGGTGAGAATAGTAAGACTATGATAGATAACTGAGCAGATACCATGAATAGTTAACAGAAGAGGAAATATATCTAATACAGAGAAAAGTTCAACTCAATCAGAGAACTGCCTAAAGTAGGGTATTCTATTTCTACTTATTAAAGTAGCTAAAATTTTTAAATCAGCAGTTCCCAACCTTTTTGGCACCAGAGACTGGTTTTGTGGAAGACAGTTTTTCCACAGATGGTGGTGGGGGTGTCAGAGGGGTGGGTTTCAGGATGAAACTCTCCCACCTAAGATCGTCAGGCATTAGATTCTCATAATAAGTATGCACCCTAGATCCCTCGCATGCGCAGTTCAAAATAGAGTTCATGCTCCTATGAGAATCTAATGCTGTGCAGATCTGGCAGGAGGTGGAGCTCAGACTATAATGCTCTCACTCGCTGGCTACTCGCCTCCTGCTGTACAGCTGGGTTCCTAATAGGCCATGGACCGGTACTGGTCTGCAGTTCAGTGGTTGGGGACCCCTGTTTTAAGTGATATCCAAAAATTATTGATTTTTCTTGGTATAACAAAAGGAAAGGGGAATAAACATTGATTGTGTGCTTATTATGTGAACATGTGTTTATTATACAGGATTCACATATATTATTTTGTCTTATCCTCTACGAATTAGGCTTTTTTTTTTTTTTTTTTTTTTTGGAGAAACAGTCTCGTTCTGTTGCCCAGGCTGGGAGTGCAGTGGGACTATCTTGGCTCACTGCAGCCTCTGCCTCCCGGGTTCAAGCAATTTTCCTGCTTCAGTCTCCCAAGTAGCTGGGATTACAGGCATGTGCCACCACACCCAGCTAAATTTTGTATTTTTAGTAGAGATGGGGTTTCACAGTGTTGGCCAGGCTGACCTGGAACTCCTGACCTCAGGTGAACTGCCCGCCTTGGCCTCCTAAAGTGTTGGGGTTACAGGCATGAGCCACCACCCCTGGCCCCCGAATTAGGCTTTTTTTTCCTGACTTTTTCAGGTGGCAAAACTGGGAGTCAAAATGACATAGCTGGTGAATGATTTAACCTAGGACCATCCAAAGTTCATTATTTATTTCACCCCTCATAAAGCAGTTGTGAACATTATTGCAACTGCAACTTTTTTTGGAAAGCAGCCCTTTTGGAAAGGAGTTTGGCACTATATATCAAATATATCAAGAGCCTTAACCATTCTTGTTCTTTTTGGATTTAGTAATTTATTTTCCAGGAATACAAAATAAGAGGAGAATATCCCCAAAATAGAAAAAGCCATATGTCCAAAGATGTTCATTGCAGCATTATTTAGGTGATTGAAAAATTGGAAGCAGTGTAAATGTCCACTAATACTGTGAGACATCTACTTGATGGGATGTATTTTATAGCCATTAAAATGATAGCTGTGACTAGTATGATCTATTGATAGGTGAAAACAAGAGAAAATAAAATTTTACATACGGTATAATTACAACTAGGTTAATGAAACATATGTAGGGGGGGAAATATTAGAAGGTAGTATATAAAATGTTAGTAGTGGGTGTGTTTGAGTGTTAGTGCTGTGGGAGATTTCTGTTTTCCAGGTTTTGTTTATAACAAAAGAGCCACACCTATAAGAAAATAGGTGGATGACAGACTTGGTTCTCAGAGTCCCCTTCCACCCTGAGACCAGCCTATGTTCTTGGACACACAGAGGAGCACGGATTATGTTGTGTTTGGATGGCCAAAAATAGTTGGGGTCTAGATGGCTCACAGTTTACTCTGAACCTCATCCTTTCGGGCTTGGTTTCTGAGCAGTCATGGCCAGATCTTAAAAGCATCTAAACAGATTGCTATACTTTTTTTTTTTCCTCATAGGCACTGAAGTGGCAGCAGCATCAAGGATTGCTTCCTCCTGGTATGACCATAGATTTGTTTCGAGGCAAAGCAGCTGTCAAAGATGTGGAAGAAGAAAAATTTCCTACACAACTGAGTAGGCATATTAAGGTAGGATCCTAAGACATTCAGCCAGTCAGTAATCATTTGTTGAGGACTTGTCATGGGCTCAGCCAGGCCCTGTGCCAGGGGCTTGGATACTTGAGGAGGATAACTCATTCTCCAGCTCTGACAATATTCAAAGTTGCTGCAGGTGTCCACTGGGATACTGCTGTGGCCTGGGAGTGGTACACCTCAGATGTGTCATCTAATGGATGGACATCTAGCTTGACATCTAGCCCATCATCTGCCCTTGCACTGCTTCCCAAGAAGCCTGCATTTGGAAGAATGGTTAGTTCTTTTTTGGTTAAGTCTGGGACTGTGAACTTTCTATGTACTTCTCCTGTTCAACATTTTTGTTGTGCCTGCTATGTGTCAGGCAGAGTGCCAGTCAGGGATTACAGAGTGGGCTTATGTGATGTTTGAGGAAAGTGACTTTATCATCTTATGGTTTTTTTTTTTTTTTTTTTTTTTTTTTTTTTTTAACTGAGAGTTTTCTAGGAAAAAGTTTTCTAGGTAATTCCCAGAATTACAAGCGTATTTGCTACTTTAGCATCTCTATATTATAGTTTCTCTGGATTCGTGCTCTGAATTCCTGGATTTTAAAATACTTCATATTCCTCAAATCTTTGACTTTAACATTTTGGATTTGCCTTTTCTGGATTATATATTCTAACTTGTAGATAAAGATATTTTTGAGCAGCACCTTTATTTACTCTGCCTGAAACCTTGAGACAAATAGAAGTCCATCATTATTATGCTGCTGGGCTAAGATTTTCTGTTATAAACACTTTCCTTTTTTGGCATTTAAGGTGAAATCCACATTAAAGCTTTTCTCTGTTCTTTCCACCTAATTTTCTGTAGTTTTCATCTGTTATCGGGAGCATCCTCACTAGCAAATGCTTAGGATGCATTTATCAGACAGTATATTAATTTTAATTAGTTCTTCTAAGTTTGGTCAGCTACACATTATCACTTGATTAAATGAAGGTTGTGAAACACTGATAGAAAGTATATTTACAAAATAATGTATGGAAACATACATTTACTTTGAAAAAATGAGTTATTCCCCCCGAGATACACAACAGGAACATGTTAGGCCATATTGAGTATGAAAGTCATGCTAACAGTGGCTGATTCTTGCAAAACATTATGGTCTGAACTAACAGGATTACTTGTTCTAAGTCCCATGTTAAAATAGCTTTCGTCCTTTTCTTAGGAAATATCAATCTCATATTCAAAAACTAGCTTCAACTTAGTGCCTAGACATAAAACTAGTCAGAGAAAAATACATCCACCCAGCTCCCTGCGTCCAGGTACAGAAATACCCCTCCAATACTCTATAATATGGGCCAGCTATGACTTTATGCTAGGGCAATGTTTCTCAAAAGGTTAAAATAGGAATTATTTTAAGTCCACTGGATAAAAATGCATCTGTTTCATTGTTTCATTTGAAACAGTTTGGTCAGAAGTCACATGTGGAGTGTGCTCGATTTTCTCCAGATGGTCAGTATTTGGTCACTGGGTCTGTTGATGGATTCATTGAAGTATGGAACTTTACTACTGGAAAAATCAGAAAGGTAAAGTATTTTAAATGTGTTAACCTTCCTAGTGAAAAAATTACTGATTTTGAATTACTTACATACGCCCTCACTCTAAATCAGATTAGTTGAAAAAGGATCTGAATGTAATGAACATGTATTACTTTTGTAATTAAAAAACTCATTTAAAGCTAGGGACAGTGGTGCATACCTGTAGTCCTAGCTACTCAGGAGGCTGAGGCAGGAGGATCACTTAGTTGAACCCAGGAGTTCAACCCATCCTGGGCAGCATAGTGAGACCGTGTCTCTACAAAAAAAAAATTTTTTTTTTAAATTAACCATGCATGCTTGTGTGCACCTATAGTTTTAGCTGCTTGGGAGGCTGAAGTGGGAGGATCCCTCAAGCCCAGGAGTTTGAGGCTGCAGTGAGCCATGATTGTGCCACTGCATTCTAGCCTGGGCAGTGACGCTGTCTCAAAAAAAAAAAAAACGGTATTTTTCATTAAATTCCAATTTTATTAACCAGGAGAGGACCTTTATTATCTATAATTGTTTTATTATCTATTATTTTTACAAGTAAAACATTTTTTTTCAGGCTGGGCACAGTGGCTCAGGCCTGTAATCCCAGCACTTGAGGAGGCTGAGGCGGGTGGATCAACTGAGGTCAGGAGTTTGAGACGATCCTGGCCAACATGGTGAAACCCCGTCTCTATTAAAAATACAAAAAAAAAAATTAGTTGGGCGTGGTGGTGGGTGCCTGTAATCCCAGCTACTTGGGAGGCTGAGGCAGGAGAATCGCTTGAACGCGGGAGGCGGAGGTTGCAGTGAGCCGACATCGTACCACTGCACTCTAGCCTGGGCAACAAGAGCGAAACTCTGGCTCAGAAAAAAAACAAAAAAACAGAGTTTCGTTCTTGTTGCCCAAGCTGGAGTGCAGGGGCACGATCTCGGTTCACTGCAACTTCCGCCACCCAGGTTCAAGCGATTCTCCTGCCTAAGCCTCTGGAGTAGCTAGGATTACAGGCATGTGCAAAAAAAAATTTTTTTTTTTTCCAAGGGGTAATATGTACAACTGATATAAGGTTCAAAAAACAGAAAAAGTTACTTAAGTAGCATTTTGCTCCTACACTTGTACCTCAGCTAGTCAGTTACCTTCCTTGGGCCAGCCAGGATTACCAGTTTCTTATGTAACTTTCCTGGAATATCCTGTGTGTGTGTTATTTATTATGTATCCTTTTCAAAAATTTTTAAATACAGGTGATAGCATACTACATACCCTGTTACACTTCCTGCTTTTTATAGCATATGTTAGAGATTATTGGTGTATTATATTACATTGCATGGATTGAACCATGATGTATTTAACCACCCATTTTATTTAAGATCATTTCCAATCTAACCTAATTGTAGTACTAATTCTATTTCTCTTATGAATGAAGTTAAACATCTTTTTATATGTGAAAAGCCGCCAATATTTCTTTTTTATTTTACTGAAGCCACTAATATTTCTTACACTATGAAGTCTGTTAGTATCTTTTGCTCGTTTTTCTATTGGATTGTTCTTTATTGATTTGTAGGAGCTCTTTATATTTTAAGGAAATTAAATTTTATAATATACATTACAAATATTTTAAAATTTTGACTTTTATGTCTTGATTTTGCTTGTTTTGTTTTATAGACTTAAATTTTTTTTTATATCATTAAATTTATTCATCTTTTCTCCTACAGTTTCTTCTAGTACTTTAATCTTTTATTTTATGTTTAATTATTGACCTTTCTAGGATTTGTTTAGGAGGATAAAGTTGGTATAGATCCAACTTAGTTTTTTCCTCAAATAGCTATTTACTTACTTTTATTCACTGATTTAAAATATAATTTTTGACTGGGCGCAGTGTTTCATGCTTGTAATCCCAGCACTTTGGGAGGCTGAAGTTGGTAGGTCACTTGAGGTCAGGAGTTCGAGGCCAGCCTGGCTGACATGGTGAAACCCTGTCTCTACTAAAAATATAAAAATTAGCTGGGTGTTTTGGTGCGGACCTGTAATCCTACTTGGGAGCCTGATGCGGGAGAATTGCTCAAACCCAGGAGGCAGAGATTTCAGTGAGCCGAGATCGCATCACTGCACTGCAGCCTGGACGACGGAGCAAGACTCTGTCTCAAAAATAAATAAATGTAATTTTTATCGTAGAGTGCCAAATTCTACTCCATGGGTAGTGGATTTATGAGTGATTTTTACTTTCTACTTTATTTTATTTTATTTTATTTTATTTTATTTTATTTTATTTATTTTTTTTTGAGATGGAGTCTCGCTCTGTCACCCAGGCTGGAGTGCAGTGGCCGGATCTCAGCTCACTGCAAGCTCCGCCTCCCGGGTTTACGCCATTCTCCTGCCTCAGCCTCCCGAGTAGCTGGGACTACAGGCGCCCGCCACCTCGCCCGGCTAGTTTTTTTTTGTATTTTTTAGTAGAGACGGGGTTTCACCGGGTTAGCCAGGATGGTCTCGATCTCCTGACCTCGTGATCTGCCCGTCTCAGCCTCCCAAAGTGCTGGGATTACAGGCTTGAGCCACTGCGCCCGGCCTTACTTTTTACTTTATATATTTCTGTATAGTTTGCTTTTATTTTTTAAACCAGGTAGCCATCTCACTTTATAATTAGAAAAAAATAAGAAAGATAATCCATTTGAAAAATAATGGATAGTAAAAGAAGCATCACAAATAAATAGATTAGTAAACTGTTTCAGGAAACGTAGCTGATGATTTGAAAAAAATATTAGTTTAGTTTCCCACATCATACAGAAATAGGTAAATTCAGATTTATTAAATATGTAAAATATGAAACTAGATAAATTTTGCCTAGAAAAAATCAGTAAGCAAAAGATCTAGAGTAGTATGTTGGTATTTTTAATAATACTAATTTGAATTGTATAAAATTATTTATCCCCAGCAATATCACTAGGAACTAGTTACTAGGAGCATGTATGCATGGCACTTCTGTTTATTTTAGGGGTTTAGAGTAGGTACAATCCATTGCCCTGGTTTTTGTGAGTTTGTAGAGAACTGGGGCCTAGACTTTTGTGTTATTTTGATAACTGCTAACCATTGTTTCTTTAGGATCTTAAGTACCAAGCCCAGGATAACTTTATGATGATGGATGATGCTGTCCTATGCATGTGTTTCAGCAGAGATACAGAAATGTTAGCAACTGGGGCCCAAGATGGAAAAATCAAGGTATGGATTAGTGCCACAGCCTCTCATGTGTAGACATTTTGAATGTTCTGCTATGGGGTAGTGTCCTGTATATGATATTCAGCACAATAATAGCTACTGATTATTGAGCATCAGCTTTATGCTAATCACTTTACTTTTTCTAGTGTAATCTTAATAATAACTCTGCCTGGGTGATCCAATAACATGTTTAAGGTCGCATACTTGGTAAGTGATAGATCTGGGACTTTAGTTCATATCTGCTTAAGCCCTTTCTATTGTACCATCCTGGCTTGCTGTATAAAAATCAAAATCACTGACCTTTTTTTTAAGGGGATGATCTAATAGTCAGTTTGTTGTGGTTTGTATTTAATGCTAGAAATACATCCTGGGCTACAAAAATTGTAGAAATGGTCTCTGCTAAGTGAACTTACAGTCTATATTTTTGTTTTACTAATTTACATGAAAAGAGTTTTAAGTTTCAAAGGATTCAGTTACTATTGTACTACATGAACCAGACACATCATATTCAGCTGTTAGCATGCATTTTTAATGCTGTTTCAGTACATTAGTGAGCATTGCATCTTACTTGGCTCTGTGGGCTATAGTAGGACACTTTACAAGTTTTTTTTAAATTCTTTCTTTTTCAAATAAAGGTATGGAAGATTCAGAGTGGACAGTGTTTAAGGAGATTTGAGAGGGCACACAGTAAGGGTGTCACCTGTCTAAGCTTCTCTAAGGATAGCAGTCAGATCCTTAGTGCTTCTTTTGACCAGACAATTAGGTAAGTAAAAATCCCAAAAGTGTTCTCACTTGAGTTTGATATAATGAGGCCCTGGAGGGAGGTACTAGTGATTCCTTATGCTTTTACTATGATGGTGTGATACGGAGAGGGAAAGTATGTGAGACCTTCTGTCCCCAAAGTACAACTCACACAGTGTTGTTGTTTTGTCCATTTGTGTCTTTACCCAGAGGAGAGATTTGAAAGGGGGTAGCAGTGATTCATGTTTCTCAGAATATGGTCCTATGGACCTATCTGCATCATAATCACTTTAGAGGGTCTGTTATACTGGGACTCAGCTGAGACCCACTGATCTCAGTCTTCTGTTAACCTGTTTTTTAGAGGTCTGTCCCTGAACAGAAGCTTGTGGTGGTATTGGCATGTTTTCTTCCAGCCTCTTTCTTTGCAAAGCTTTTGTTTGATTGTTTGATATAATGAAAATTATACCATGTACACAATCACATAGCCCTCTTAATGTTATAACATGAGCTTCTGTAATTTATCTAAAATGCATTCAATCATTGGTCACAACCATAAGATATTAAATATTTATTGTTCTTTTACTTTCATTTGGTAGAATTCATGGTTTAAAATCTGGGAAAACACTGAAGGAATTTCGTGGCCATTCCTCCTTTGTTAACGAAGCAACATTTACACAAGATGGACATTACATTATTAGTGCATCCTCTGATGGCACAGTAAAGGTTAAGTATTTGCTTTCGGTTTATTTTGGGATGTCTACCCCATCTTTGTCCTTTGAGGAGTTTTCAGTGGTGATAATGGGAATGATTGTGCTGTAGTAAACCTCTTTACTGGCTATTTTAGCCATAATTGAGGTGAGTCTGAGACAACAACAATATTCTGTGGGTAATTCCCATTGGCCTTGGGACCCCAATCTCAAACTTTTTCAATCCAAACGAACTTTCTCATATGTAGGAAAAGAGGAAGGGTGAAGAGTCCTAAAGTTAAGCCATCCCCCATTCACAGATACACACGGTGGTTAAATCTGTTTTGCCACAGGTATGGTCTACCTGCTAACAGTCAAATTCACAAAAGGCTCAGTGGCCTAATAAATAGATCTCTTTTTTTGTTGCACAGCCTCGCTGCATTCCTGGTCCCCAAATTTAGAGCTTTCCTAGTAGCATTTATAGAGGAATAGGAGAAGTGTTGAGTAAAACTAAGCCTTCTCCTAGATAGTTATTTAATAAGTAATTTGCTGAAAGTAATGGATCTTCAGTACCTTTAAAGATTTAGTTATTTTTCGAGAGGATCTCATTTCCTAGAAAAGATATGAGAAACCCAAATAGAAAATTATTAGAGATCTTCGAGACACTCTACGTTTTGGACCTAATCTTTTTGAATTGCCTTATATGAGCGAGTACTTTGTGGCAGAAGATCTAGACATTTTAACAAAACATTTTAACACATATATCTAGACATTTTAGATACATATTTAAGTATCTAAAATTCAGACAGTCAGGTGTGGTGGCATACACCTGTAGTCCTAGCTACTTAGGAGGCTCAGGTGAAAGGATCACTTGAACCCAGGAGTTTGAGGCTGCATTGAGCAATTTTCACACCACTGTACTTCAGCTTGGGCAAGAGAGCAACAACCTGTCTCAATCAATAAATGTATGTGTGTATATATGTATGTATGTACATATGTATGTCAGACCACCGTCTGAAAATGCTGTTCATGATTGGAAATTGAACCGGAAACCGGAAGGCAGGAGATGTATGCTCCCTTGGGATGAGTGGAGAAATCACGCAAAGCTGTTAGTACTTCAGTCATGGGATTTGCTCTCATGCTATGCATATGGGCCTCACAACTTGTAAATGCCACTGGTAGATGGCTTGTCTAAGCTTCTTTATTTTGTGGTCTTTCCCCCTTAGTTTTGCAGTGAGTGGGGCAAAGCATGTCACTGACCTTTTGAATGAAAAACACTGGAAGCCTTAGCGTTCTTAATTCCTGAAATGTTCATGTTTTCTTCTAAGCATCTGGGCTTCAGAGGAGATTAGGGCAGACGATAACGGTATTGACACCAGGGCAACTGTTTTCTCCTGTTTATGAGTATTTATTCAACATCTGCTTTGTGCCAAGCTCCGTGGAAGGCACAGAGGAAACACAGCAGAGTCCATGCCTTAGAGACTTTGTGCCTGGTGAATTGAGTGGTATCTGGACAATGCTATTTAATGTTTGGTCCATCCCTTCTCTAAGCACATCTCAGATTTCTGTGCTACCTGATTTAACCCTTTCAGTTCATAAGAGCCCAGAAGGACAAGGTGAAAAGATAGACTGGGAGAAGTAATACAAGTGGCCAAGAGTAGCTTCCACTTCAAAGTTCCTCATGTGTGTGTGCTAACATTGTGACTTCTATTCAGTCATTGTCGGTATAAACTGTACATTGGAATCATTTGTAGCTTTAAAAAAAATGCCTGTGCCTCACCCTAGACCTACCACATCAAAATCTCAGGATAGAGTCTCAAGCTAAAAAGCCTCTATTTGAACCAAGCTCAGTGGCACCTGCCTGTAGTCCCATACTCAGGAGGCTGAAGTGACAGAATCTCTTGAACCCAGGAGTTTAACGCCAGCGGGGACAATAGGGCAAAATAGCGAGATCTCATCTCATTTTAAAAAAAAAGCCCCTGTTTTTGTTTTGTTTGTATTTTATTTTAATTATTTTAAATAGAGATAAGATCCCACTATATTGCCTAGGCTGGTCTTGAACTCCTGGCCTCAAGTGATCCATACGCCTTGGCTTCCCAAAGTGCTGAAATTACAGGCGTGAGCCACCATGCCTGACCCCCTATTTGGTTTTGATATCCAGACAAGGGTAGCTTTCTGGTTGTTTATGACAGTAGCAGTGTTGACAAACAACTAATTTTAAAGAGAGAGAGAGCTCTATTGGCTAAGGAAAAAGGTATTAGAAAAGATCGTAGTTTTTTAAAAGTTTTTAAATTTTAGTTTGTGACTTTTGTTTTTGCCAATTCATCAACAAATACATGATGAATACTTACTCTGTACAGTTGGTCCTCTGTATCTGGAACATGGATTCAGCCAATGACCAATTGAAAATATTTGGGGGGAAAAAAGAAAATTCCACAAAGTTCTAAAAAGCAAAACTTAAATCTGCCCCATGCCAAGTACTACATTGAATCCATACAAAGGAAGTGGTGTGTGGGCATTGTATTAGGTATTATAAGTAATCTAGAGATGATTTAAAGCATATAGGAGGATGTGCATAGGTTATATGCAAATACTGCATCATTTTATAAATGGGACTTGAGTATCCTTGGATTTTGGTATCTAAAGGGGATCCTGGAACCAATTCACCCATAGATACTGAGGGACAACTGTATATGGCAGTGCTGGATATTTGATTGGACCTAAAATCAAGTAAGAAACTTTTTTCCCCTGAGTCATTTCTACTCTTTTTTAGTAACCTGTTAATGTTTTAAACCCTAAAACTTTAGAACTTTTTGTATCTAAAAAAAGGTTTGTAACTTAAATTTTTGTGTGGTAGATCTGGAATATGAAGACCACAGAATGTTCAAATACCTTTAAATCCCTGGGCAGCACCGCGGGGACAGATATTACCGTCAACAGTGTGATTCTACTTCCTAAAAACCCTGAGCACTTTGTGGTGTGCAACAGATCAAACACAGTGGTCATCATGAACATGCAGGGGCAGGTGAGTGTTCAGAAGTACCCTTGCACAGGACCTGTGGGCCATTCCCAAATCAGCACATCCTGGTCCAGGCCCACCCTCCCAATAACCAAATTTGGGTTCCTTTCTCTGTAAAAAGACTGGGAAAAGTAATACAAGTGGCCAAGAGTAGCTTTTTTGGATTTATTTATAGCTCTGTAAACTATCTCTTCGGTATTTCAAAAGTGATCTCCTTTCCCCTGGGTGTTTGTATATTAAGCATTTTCATCCTTTGGATAAATGAAGCTCCTATCTGTCTTTAAGCCTCCTTCAGAACCTCACTGAAGTTTTTAAGATAACAATGTTTGTCTGAGTTAGGGGGATACAGTGTAGTATGGATTACCAACTCAGGACATCTCCTAGCTACCACGCTCTAAAATGGAACACTAATAGGAGAAAGGCAGCAGTGTCCTCAGTGTATTTTTAGTCAGAAAACCTTCAAGGTTCTCAAGGAATCTCACTTTTGTGGACTGTAGGGTAGCACTGGGGGCGTCAGAAGCATCAAGTTTGAGGACTCAAGTCCTAGGTATGTATGGTAGTGCTACTGGATTATTGGCCTGGACACGTGGGGATCTTGCTGACCATAGAGAAGACCCAGGGGCTGGTGTATAGTACTGTCTTTCCATTCTTTGAGTTCTATAACTGATGGAGTAGTAGTTCAGAATCCATAGCTGAGATGGCTGGTCTGCAGTATCTTTTGGGCCACTGCATAATAGCTACAGCTGCCCAGTACATCTGCTGAGCACACTTCATAGTTCTGTGCTTGACTTTTAAAAATACTTTATTTCGAAAAAATAATTTTAGATTCACATAGAAGCTGCAAAAGTAGTACAGAAGAGTTCCATGTTTCCCTCTCTCAAATTCTTCCAAGGATAACATCTTATATAATGATAATACAATGATCAGATATAGGAAATTGACATTGGTACAGTTATTAACTCTATTACAGATCTTATTTAGATTTAACCAGTTTTGGTTAAATCTAAGATTTAACATGCATTTTTTTTTTTTTTTAAGCAGGGATTTAATCGTTCTGTAACGTTTCATTACATGTATAGAGTCATGTAACCACCATTACAATCAGGATACAGAACTGGTTTTTTGTTTGTTTGTTTGTTTTTGAGATGAAGTTTTGCTCTTGTTGCCCAGACTGGAGTGCAATGGCGTGATCTCGGCTCGTTGCAACCTCCGCCTCCCGGGTTCAAGCGATTCTCCTGCCTCAGCCTCCCAAGTAGCTAGGATTTCTAGTAGAGACGGGTTCACTCCAAGTGGGTCAGGCTGGTCTCGAACTCCTGATCTCAGGTGATCCACCTGCCTCCACGTCCGAAAGTGCTGGGATTACAGGTGTGAGCCACCGTGCCCGGCCAGGATACAGAAATGTTTTATCATTCCCAAAGAAACTCTCACGCTACATCTTTATACTTACATCTTCTCCATAACCCTAGCCCCTGGCAACTACTGATCAGTTTTCCATTGTCATAATTTGTTGTTTTTTAAAAAACAGACTTTTAAGAGCAGTTTTAGGTTAACAGCAAAATTGAGCAGAAAATACGGAGGGTGCCCATATTTCCTCTGTCCCTCCCATGGGAACAGCCTTCCCCACTATCAGTATCTCGTGCCAGAGTGGTATGTTTGTTACAGCTTATGAACGTGCATTTGGTACATCATTAACACACAATGGCTATAGTTTACATTAGGATTCATTCTTGGTGGTGTATGTTCTGTAGGTTTGGACAAATTGTATAATGGCAGGTGTCTACCATTAGAGAATTGTACAGAGTAGTTTCACTTCCAAGAAATTCTCTATGGCCTTTCTATCCTTCCTCCCTCCCCACTAACTTCTGGCAACCACTGATCTTTTTCTGTCTCCATAGTTTTGCCTTTTCTAGGAAGTCATGTAGTCCGAAACATAAAATATGTAACTTTTTCATTGTGACTTTTAATAATATGCATTTTTCTCCTTGTTTTTTCATGCTTTGATAGCTTATTTTTTATTTACTTTTTTTGAGATGGAGTCTCACCCTCTCCCCCAGGCTGGAGTGCAGTGGCGCAATCTCAGCTCACTGCATCCTCTGGACCCCAGGTTCAAGCGATTCTCCTGCCTCAGCCTCCTGAGTAGCTGGGATTACAGGCACCTGCCACTGCGCCCTGCTAATTTTTGTATTTTTAGTAGAGACGGGGTTTCACCATCTTGGCCAGGCTTGTCTTGAACTCCTGACCTCATGATCCACCCACCTCGGCTTCCCAAAGTGCTGGGATTACAGGCGTGAGTCACCATGCCCGGCTTTTTTTTTTTTTAAATGCTGAATAACATTTATTTATCCAGTCATCTACTGAAGGACATCTTGCTTCCAAGTTTTGGCAATTATGAGTAAAGCTGCTATAAACATCCATGTGCAGATTTTTGTGTTAATATGTTTTCTCTTTCTTTGGGTAAATGCTAAGTAGTGTGATTACTGGACTGTATGGTAAAGTATGTTTAGTTGTAAGAAACTATTAAACTGTTCCAAAATGGATGTATCTGTATTCTCACCCTTGGTGAATGAGAGTTCCTGTTACTGCACATCGTCACCAGCACTGGGTGTGGTCAGTGTTCTGGATGTTGGCCATTCTAATAGGTGTGTAGTGGTATCTCATTTTAATTTGCATTTCCCTAATGAAATGTGGAAATCTTTTCGTGTGCTCATTTGTCATCTGTATACTTCTGGTGAGGTGTCTGTTTCAGGTATTTGACTCATTTTTCAATTGGGTTGTTTTCTTGCTGTTGAATTTTAAGAGTTCTTTATATGTTTCGGATAATAGTTCTTTATCAAATCTAGTTTTTACAGATATTTTCTCCCCATCCATGGCTTGTCTTTTCATTTTCTTCCTTTTTTTTTTTGAGGCAGAGTCTTGCTCCATTGCCCAGGCTGGAGTGCAGTGGCATGGTCATAGCTCACTGCATCCTTGAGCTCCTGGGCTCAAGAAATCTTCCTGCCTCAGCCTTCTAAGTGGCTGGGACTACAGGCATGTGCCACAATGCCCGACTTTGTGTGTATGTGTGTGTGGAAATGGGGTCTTGCCATGTTGCTGAGGCTGGTCTGAAACTCCTGGCCTCAAGTGATCCTCCCGCCTTAGCCTCCCAAAGTGCTGGTATTACAGGCATGAGCCACTGCATCTGGCTTCATTTTCTCGACAGTGGCTTTTACAGAGGAGAAGTGTTTAATTTTAATGAAATCTAGCTTATCAGTTATTTCATGGATCATGTATTTGGAATTGTATCTAAAAAGTCATCAAACTCAAGATCATCTAGATTTTCTTTTTTGTTATCCTGTAAGAGTTTTATATACAATTTTGAGTTTTACATTTAGGTCTGTGATCCATTTTGAGTTAATTTTTGTGAAGACTGTAAGGTCTTTATTTTATTGTGTCTAGATTCATTTTCTTGCATATAAGTGTCCAGTTATGGCATATCTTGTTGGAAACACTATCTTTTCTTTATTACATTGCTTTTGCTTCTTTGTCAAAAATCAGTTGAGTGCATTTCTGGGCTTTGTATTCTGTTCCATTGATCCGTTTGTTCTTTTACCAATACCACACTGTCTGGGTTACTATAGCTTTGTGTAAATCTTGAAGTTGGGTATTGTGAGCCCTCCAACTTTGTCCTTCTCTTTCAATATCGAGTTCACTATTCTGGGTCTTTTGCCTCTTTGTGTAAGCTTTAGAATTGGGTTGTCAATATCCACAAAATACTTTGCTGGGATTTTGATTGGGATTGTGTGAAATCTATAGATTAAGTTGAGGAGAACTGACGTCTTTACCATATTGAGTCTTCCAATTCATGAACATAGAATATCTCTCTGTTTAGTTGTTTGATATCATTCATCAGAATTTTGTAATTTTCCTCATTTAAATATTATATGTATTTTGGTAGATTTATACCTAAGTATTTTCACTTTGGGGCTGCTAATGTAAATGGTATCATGTTTTAAATTTCAAGTTAATTCCAAGCCCTAACCCTTGGCAATCACTGATCTGTTTTCCATTATTATAATTTTGTCATTTGGAAAATGGTATAGAAATGGAAGCATATAGTATGTAGACTTTTCGGATTGGTTTCTCTCAGCTTGGTTTATGATGATTTTAATGTTGTATCAATAGAGCAAGCAAAGTCTTAGAGACAAAGTATCATCCTGCATGGGGAAAGCTTCTCATTCTGTTAGAGGAAACTGGGGAGCAGACATCCAGAAAGCTTTGAGAACTACTGGTATATTGATTTAGAAAATTGTTTTATGTATGGCAATGGAATTTGCTTAAGGGTAATATGTCTCTTTAGGGCATGATTGGTGATGTGGGATGTATGAATTCTAAATTTTTGTCTGCCATTTAGTTTAGATTACTTATCTATTGAATATTTCCCAGGCACGGGGAGTTAGCACATGCTGAACAGGATTGGAGATCTAATTACAAATGATAGTAAACCAAAGTGCAAAATAACAACGTAAAAATGTCACTTGAAAAGGCTGCACATGGTTGAGCTGCTACTAATCCTGATGTTTTTGTCTTGGGGTGTGGTGTGATCTAGATTGTCAGAAGCTTCAGTTCTGGTAAAAGAGAAGGTGGGGACTTTGTTTGCTGTGCCCTCTCTCCCCGTGGTGAATGGATCTACTGTGTAGGGGAGGACTTTGTGCTCTACTGTTTCAGTACGGTCACTGGCAAACTGGAGAGAACTTTGACAGTGAGTATTACTTACTAAGTTCATCTAAAGAAATATGGTAAGACTTGTGTCTTTCTGAACTCTGAAGTATGTGCCTTTTCCAGACTACTATCAATGTGACCCGCAGTATAAAAAACATTGTTTTAAAACATTTAGCTCCATGTTAAATTCAAGAAGTAAAATTAATGTCAGCTGCTATGATGATCCCCAAATCTCAGTGGCTTAACACTAAACAAGTTTATTTATTTTTTATTTTATTTTATTTTATTTTATTTTATTTTGAGAAGGAGTCTCACTCTGTCACCTGGGCTGGAATGCAGTGGTGTGATCTCAGCTCACTACAACCTCTGCCTCCTGGAGTCAAGTGATTCTCCTGCCTCAGCCTCCCAAGTAACTGGGACTACAGGCACATGCCACCACTTCTGGCTAATTTTTTGTATCTTTAGTGGAGACGGGGTTTCACCATCTTGGCCAGGCTGGTCTTGAACTCCTGATCTCAAGTGATCCACCTGCCTCCACCTCCCAAAGTACTGGGATTACAGACATGAGCCACTGCACCCAGCCTAAAGTTTATTTCTTATTATGTCACAATGTGATGTGAGTTGGAAAACCTTCCTCCATCTTTCTCCTATGCCATTTGGAATATCAGGCCTTGATCTCTTTCCTTTCCACCCAGCTCTGGAAGCGTCATCAGAGTGATTTATTGCAGATCTGTACACCCTAACCCTGTACTTTACATGTTCCAGGTGCACGAGAAGGATGTGATTGGTATTGCACATCACCCTCATCAGAACCTGATTGCTACCTACAGTGAAGATGGACTCCTAAAGCTCTGGAAACCATAATTCAACTTTCCTTTTTAAATCAGTGAAAGCACATACTTAAACGAAGGCATATTCATGTAATGTGCTTTTTTTTCTTTCTTTTTTTTTTTTTTGGCCCACTTTTCTAAGCAAATAGATTGTCTGAATTAGTCACAAGAATAATTTTGTGAAAATTCATGTTTAAGTAGCAAGTACCCCTTCATTTTTTTATATATTTTTAAGGTATTAGTTTATCTTCTAACTGGTGCAGTCACTTAATGTTTTCATTAATCTTATACCTGGAGAGTGAAATACTGATATTTCTAGAAAAAAATTCTCCTTTGATTATTTGAAATGCTGATTAAAATGTCCCTCCTATAGTAAAACTTGTAAATAAGGAACTATATCATATTCAGTAGCTGTATTCTGTTCCATCTTTTTTTTTTTTTTTTTTTTTTTTGAGATGGAGTTTTGCTTGTTGCCCAGGCTGGAGTGCGCGGCACGATCTTGGTTCACTGCAACCTCCGCCTCCCAGGTTCAAGCAATTCTCCTGCCTCAGCCTCCTGAGTAGCTGGGACTATAGGTGTGTGATACCATGCCTGGCTAATTTTTTTGTATTTTTAGTGAGATGGGGTTTCACCGTGTTGGCCAGGCTGGTCTCAAACTCCTGACCTCAAGTGATCCACCCGCCTTGGCCTCCCAAAGTGCTGAGATCACAGGCGTGACCCACCATGCCCGGCCCATCTTTTTTTTTGAAGATGTTAATAAACTTTATACCTTTCTGGAGACTTTGTTCTAAAATGTAAATAAATGCTCATCTAGTTAACATATTTACTCAGAATTTGGGAGGAGGAGTGACATTATTATCCCCGAATCTCAAGTATAGCAGAAGTGAATTCCTGGGATAGTAGGATAACATGTAAAAAGGCCAGGTGATGCATAGGTTCTCATTTCACTGCCCTCAGCTTTCCTCTCCTTCTGAGCTGTGCCTTCTCACATGTTCAGTCAACTCCAGGGAATATTGTCTCCATCTTCTGAATAGAACTAGTTGCAGGATCCGTTACAAGAATTCAGAGTTTTGTCATCTCCCCTTTGTACATTGTAGGGGATGGTTTGGCATTGGAAATGTGCTGTTGTTTCAAAGAAAAATTAGCAAAAGGACTTGAGATTTAGAAAAGTCTCCTTTGTAATGTGCATCATTACCAGTTAGCTAAAGAGAAACATGTAAAAGTCAACAAAATCCTTGAAAATATTTTGCATATGGATGTCTGTTTCATGTTTCAACTGAAGATGTATAGAGCACCTCTGATGATGAGGAAGATACTGTGCTAGGCACTACTTTCAAGAATGTGAGTTCTTGTTTCCACAGGCCTTTTGTGCCCCCTTTTAAATGTTAGCATTTATTAGGTACAAACTAGTGGGGAAGGTTTTTTTAAAAAAGTTTTGCAATCTTGTAATTTACTTTTTAAAAAAATTTATTTTATTTTTTTGAGATGGAGTCTTGCTCTGTTGCCCAGGTTGGAGTGCAATGGTGCCCTCTCAGCTCACTGCAACCTCCACTTCCCAGGTTCAAGCGATTCTTGATACTTCCCAAGTAGCTGGGAATACAGGCCACATGCCACCATGCCTGGCTAATTTTTATATTTTTAGTGGGGGAGGGGGGGTTTCACCATATTGGTCAGGCTAGTCTTGAACTCCTGACCTCAGGTGATCCGCCTGCCTCGGCCTCCCAAAGTGCTGGGATTACAGGCATGAACCACCGCGCCCAGCCTTGTAACTTACCTTTGATTGTGACTTGAAATGCAGTATGATCCTATGTGGGGAACGTAGTAATGTTCAGTGTTTGCTGAATTAATTCTGAGCAGCACTAAGAAATCCCTCTTTCCCAGTCATATTCTGTAACACATTTCCCATTTGCCACAAAACCTGCAGCTTTTTGGCCCAGGTAATGTCATTTGCTGCCATTTTGATGATTTTAAAATGGTCGTGGGAGTTGAACATAGTCATGAATTCAGGATTCCTGAGAATGTAGACAGCCATCCCAGTGGAAAGACACGTTCACTTAAGAGAAGTTTAAGTTAGAGGAAACAGTTTATGCTAAAAAATTTTTTTAAAAGTCTTGGAGAAGAATTTTTGATTTAGTTTTGACCTCATGAAGCTGGCAGTTATGATATGCATAGTTTGTACCACTGTTTATGAAGATAGAGAATCTAGTCAGCACGTGTTGGTTTATTCTAGGAATTTTTATGGAACACTTCTGTTGCTGGCACCAAGTGCTGAATATGGTTTAAAAAAAGACTCGCCTAAACATAGGGAAGAAGAGCATATTAAAAGGAGTAACTAAAACTGATAAAAGCTCAAGTCACCTTTCTGATGATGAGAGGCGGGGCACTTAACGCGAAAGGGTTGGGAAAGGCTTCCTGGAGGGACTGGGAGGCGATCTAAGCACAGGGAACCTTCCTGGGGACTGCAGTGTGGCATAGCGGCAAGGTATGTGCTGGGCAAATGATAGGTGTTTTGGGAGACCAGGCAAACAGAGCTGAATTAGGAGCCATTAAGTATATATTTTTCTTCTTTTTAAATAAAATAATGCACTGGGTGAACATGTAAACGCTAAGTTGAAAATCTGCCTTTCCCAGGTAACCCTTGTTAATCTTTCTACAACTTCATTTCGTACAAACCTGAAAAACAGTGTTTTTGTCTTTAAATGGGCACACGCTCCTTAACACTGCTGGGCGCCTAGGCTTTCTGAAGCCCCATGCGGCCGTCCCTCCAGCACTGAAGGCTGGGACAGCCCAGCTCCCCTCTAGCACCCGCACAGCCAGACCGCGGCGGGGACGGGCGGCGCACGCGCGGGGCCGACGGCCGAATCAGGGGCGCCGCCGCTCCGGGTGGGCGCCAGGCAGGAGTCCTATCTTGGGTCCAGGGCCGGTAGAGCCCCTTACCGGGGGTAGGGAGACCGCGCACCCGCCAGAGCCAAGTGTCGGGGCCTGCAGACGTCGGGTGAAGCCACTGTTAAAAAATTGGCGGTCACCTCGTGGTAAGGGCGGGTGGCAGCAGCTAAGCGAACGGGAGTCGGCTGCCGGGAATCAGTGCGCACTTCCTTTTGAATTGGGCGTGTGCAGTCGGTTCCTAGGGAAGTGCTCTGCTGCAGCCACCAGATTTGACCGGATGCTGCTCTCCAGCTCTTAACATAGAAGCTAAACTGGCGTTAAAATTCCATGAGCATAAGGACATTTGTCCTACCCCCCATTCAGCTGTTGAATTAATGACTGGAAAACATTGCACGGAGGTTTTTCGGGGTGATATGGTTTATTTTTTAAACAGCAAATGGTATAAATCTCAGGTACAATTCAGTATCTTCTTCACCAGTTTTTTTTCAGCTTTTATTATTACTACCACTAACAGCGTCTGTTGAGCCCTTCATTGCTATGTAAGCAGCCATATTTAATTCTCAGAACAATGTAATGAGGGTGCGCAAATAGACATGAAGAAACAGGTTTCCAGACGTGAGGGACCTAACTCAGTCCAACTTGCATGAAGCTCGCATTGAAAACCAGATGTGACTCCAAAGCTAGGTTTCTTTTCTCTCTTGCCTCACTGTTAATATTGCTTAAGTTTCTCCTCAATCTTTAGGTTTGGGCAGGGGCAAAGAATACATGGGTTGTTCTTCCACATTCTGCAAAAACATTTACCTAAGCAGAGCACAGGTAGTGAGATGAGTAGAGAACCGAATTACGAGATTCTGGATGTCAGTCTTTGCTGTCACTTCTTTGGCTTGTGCTAGTAACAGTGGTTCTTAAAGTGTCACCTGATAAATTGTTTGAAAGACACATTCTAAGGTCCTGTCCCAGACCTACAGAATCAGAGAAACTGGTGGTGGGGACCCAGCAAGCATGCTCAAATTTGAGAGCAGGTAGACTACAGGGTAGTTTCCGCATATACAAAAGGTGTTTTAATTCTTGCTGTCAGTCTCAGAAGGTTCATGCTGAGATAACCAAATTTAAATGATAAAGGTGCAAGACTGACTCTTAAAATCACATTTTTTCAAATTGCCATAGCTTGCTAGTGTTCTCATTCACTGTGCTCTTAAAGCTTCATTTTCCACTATTTTAAGAGAAGAAATTGCTATGAAGTGTATGTCCAAGTTAGGAAGTTCCCTGGACTGAGCTTGTTTAAAACTTGCAATAGGCCAGGTGCAGTGGCTCAAGCCTGTAATCCCAGCACTTTGGGAGGCCGAGGTGGGCGGATCATGAGGTCAGGAGTTCGAGACCAGCCTGGTCAACATGGTAACACCCCGTCTCTACTAAAAGATACAAAATTCGCTGGGCATGGTGGCTCACGCCTGTAGTCCCAGCTACCTAGGAGGCTGAGGCAGGAGAATAGCTGGAACCTGGGAGGCAGAGGTTGCAGTGAGCTGAGATTATGCCACTGCACTCCAGCCTGGGTGACAGAGCAAGACTTGGCTTCAAAAACAAACAAACAAACAAACAAAAAACACAACAACAAAAAACTTGCAATAGCAGGGGCTGCCCATTACTTAACCTTCCACAGCAATTTTAACAGTGGTATTCTGTTCCAGTGGTTAATATTAAATCTATGTGTCAGTATTGGTGGCTTTCAACCTTGGCTGTGCATAATCATTTTGATGCTTAGGCTACACCCAGCCGAGTTATACAGAACCCCTGGAGGGTGGGACCTGATCAGTGTTTTAATGTTTCCCGGGTAATTCCAATGGTAGCCAAGGTTGAGAACCAGTATCATATGTACAAAAAAGTTGAGAAGCTAATTTCATGTACAGAAAATTTGCCACTGTTCCAAGAGCACTCTCAAGGGACATAATTGGCCTCTATTCCTATTCTCTACAAGTATGAACGGGCAGGAGAAACATCACAGAGAAAGCAGAGTTAGTGCTGGAACTTGTATTTTTGTGATGTCCTTCGTTAATGTTTTAAGGGGCTTTGTTTTTTCATAGGCTCTCCCTCATTACGTTGTTCTGAGAATTAAATATGGCTGCTTACATAGTAATAAAGGGCTCAACAGAGGCTGTTAGTGGTAATAATACAAGCTGAAAAACTACACAAACCTATCAGTTTCTGCCTCTTCAGGATATAACTATTAGGTTAGTGCAAAAGTAATTGTGGTTTTTGGCATTAAAAGTAATGGCACATTACTTTTGCACCAACCTACCTACTATGACTTTCTTTTAGTGTTCTTAGGATTTTTAATTGTAAAACATATATAACAAAATTCCCAAACAATTGTGCAATTCAGTGGCATTATTTACAATGTTATACAACCACTATTGTATTTCCAAAATGTTATCACCCTAAACAGAAGCACTGTAACATTGTCAATTAATTTCTCCTTCCCCTCCCCTGAGCCTTTGGTACTGTTCTACCTCAATGCATTTGCCGTTTAGTTCATATAAGTGAAATTATACAGTATTTGTCCTTGTGTATCTGATTTCATTTAGCATGTTTTAAAGGTCCATCCACATATCAAACAGGAATGTGCTTCATATTTGGTGGAAGTGTAAAAAGTATTCCTTTTAATGACTGTATATTTCACAGTATATTGTACACATTAACCATTTGTTGGTGGACACACAGGTTTCTACTTTGGACTGTTGAGAATGCTGCAGTAAACACCATACAAGTATGAGTACTTTTTTTTGAGACAGAGTCTCACTCTTGTCACCCAGGCTGGAGTGCAGTGATGCAATCTTGGCTCACTGCAACCTCCACCTCCTGGGTTCAAGCGGTTCTCCTGCCTCAGCCTCCCAAGTAGCTGGGATTACAGGTGCCCGCCACCACATCCGGCTAATTTTTGTCTTTTTAGTGGAGATGGGGTTTCACCATGTTGGCCAGGCTGGTCTTCGACTCCTGACCTTAGGTGATCCGCCTGCCTAGGCTGCCCAAAGTGCTGAGATTAGAGGTGTAAGACACCACACCAGGCCTCCATTCTTGTCTTTAATTCCTTTTGTATAGTCATCCCTCAGTATCCATGGGGGTACTGGTTCCAGGACTTTCCATGGATACCAGAATCTGAGGATACTCAAGTCCCTGACATAAAACGGCATGGTTATTTGTATATAACCTACACATCCTGCATAATTTAGCCATCTAGCTCTAGGTTAACTTGTAATACCTAATACAATGTAAATACTATGTAAACAGCTGTTACACTGTATTGTTTAGGGAGTAAGTCTGTACATGGTCAGGAAACAATTTTTCCCAATTGTTTTTGATCCAAGGTTGACTAAATCCATGGATGTGAAACCCAAAAAGGAGGGCCAGCTCTGGGTCATGTGGTAATTCCATGTTTAGCTTTTTTTTTTCTACTGCAACTGCAACGTTTTACATTACCACCAACAAAGTACAGAGAGTTCCAATTTCTCCATATTCTATTTTCCATTTTTTGGATCAGCGCTATCCTAGTAGGTATGAAGTAGTATCTGGTTTTTATGTGCATTTCCTTTATGACTGACAAATGCCGAAAACATGAGATTTGTAAAAAATTTTAAGTGTCCTATAAACAATGCTTTTTCTTTTTTTTTTTTTTGAGACAGAGTCTTGCTGTCACCCAGGCTGGAGTGCAATGGCATGATCTTGGTTCACTGCAACCTCCTGACCTGGGTTCGAGCAATTCTGCCTCAGCCTCTCGAGTAGCTGCAACTACAGGTGAGTGCTACTGGCTAACGTTTGTACCTTTAGTAAAGTACACCACGTTTTCACCAAGGTGGCCAGGCTAGTCTCAAACTCCTGACCTCAGGTGATCTGCCTGCCCTGTCCTGCCAAAGTGCTGGGATCACAGTTATAAGCCACCGTGCCCAGCCCTAAACAATGCTCTTGAATGTATTAAAACACAGGTTAAGAAATTTTTAGAATTTGTACATAAACCCATTGAAAACTGAAATCTGTCACAAGCACTTTTCTGAACATCTGCTTCACGTCTCTAACTTTAGGGGAGCTGTGGCTGTCTGGCACAGACTAAAAGGAAGTTGACAAACATGGATGGGTTGGGAACCTTACTTTTTAAACACAAAGTTCTCCTTCTTAAGCTTGTATTCTTTATGAGAACTTGTTCTCTCATGCTCACTCCAATGTATGCATAGTTTTCTAAGTCCCCTTCTTCTTGGCTCATTACCCAGTCCTCCACTTTTACTCTCCATCCTATTTAATATTAAATATTTAACTATAGTTCAACAGTATTTTTGTATCACTCATTCAGACTAGCTAAAATCAAGTTATGTATCTTAAAAGCCAAAACTTGATGATCTGGGGGAAAAAAAAAGCCTGTAGTGACACACATTGGAGATGCTTTGTAATTAGTATATTAAGGAGACAATACATTTCAAGAATTGCTTAAATTCTGATACCGATTTAAGCATGTGAACATATGAGACTTTTAAACATACAATTAAAGCTATTCATCATAATTTGCTATACTACCAACATTACTTTGGAGCATAAGTTTAAAGTAATCCTGTAACATACCTAAAGAACACCTTCCTATATTATGCATGCAAATTACTTCTCCACGTAAAGGTCTTTTCACTTTAATTTCTACATTACCCAGCTCTGAAGTCACTACTCGGGCTTATGGTCC